AATGAATTTTAGGATGTGTAAATTACACCTCAAAAGGCACTTTAAAAAACAAATTTCACCAGCCACACAGTTGTTTTTAAGGGTTTTGGGGTGCCCCACTACATTAAGGCAGGAGATTGTACAAGGCTGAGGGGAAAGGCAGATGGGCCAATGTTGGCATCCTGGGCTCTGCTGCTCACCTATGTTTTGAGGTCTGGGCTGTGGGTCAGCAGTCCAGCAGGGGACGGCCACTTGGCTTGTTGCCATCCCATGAACTGACCAAATGCTAAGGTATCTGCACCTTGGATGTTAACTGACGGACTACAGGTAGCAGCACTAAGTACTTTGTCCACAGCAACCTCCAAGGCCAGGTTGAAAGAGTAGAGAGGATGCTAGGAACAAATAAGACAACTTGATTTTAGAAACTGAAATGTGCAGATTTAAGCAGCTAGCAGAAAAAAAAAAAAAAGGACCAGATATAAGATCTCTGTTGCAATTTACTAAGTTCAGACAAAAATAAGTGCTGCAAACATTGCTAAAAAACAAATAAAAGGCACCTCAGGAGAAACAGTAAGCTTGTTTAAGGGCTGGCATTATGGTACAGTGGCATGCTCTATCAGAGTGCCGCCCCAGTCCTGGCTGCTGTGTTTCTGATCCAGCTCCCTGTGCCTGGGCAAGATGGCCCAAGGAGCTGGGTCCCTTTCCTGCAGGTGGGGATCTGCATGGAGTTCTAGGCAATTGACTTGAGCCTGACCCAGTCTTGGCTGTTGAAGCCATCTTATTTGAACCAATGGATGAAAGGTTTCTCTCTCTGTCACTCTACCTTTTAAATAAGCAAAACAAATACTTTTTAAAAAGCAAAAATCAGGCTCAGCGCTATAGCCTAGTGGCTAAATCCTGATCTTACACATGCCAGGATTCCATACGGGTGCCAGCTCATGTCCCGGTTGTTTCACTTCCCTTCCAGCTGCTTGCCTGTGGCCTGAGGAAACAGTTGAGGATGGCCTTGGGACCCTGCACCTGTGTGGCAGACAGGAAGAACTCCCAGCTCCTGGCTTTGCATCAGCTCAGTTCTAGCTGTTGCAGCCACTTGGGGAGTGAACCAGCGGATGGAGGATCTTTCTCTCTGTAAATCTAAATCTGTCTTTACAATAAAAATGAATAAATCTAAAGCAAATAATTTTTTTCTTAAAAATTAAAAAAAGAAACAAAAAACCTACTTAAGAAACATCCATTGGAAGCACCTCCTGAAATCTAAGAATATATAGTCTAAAGGTCATTCTAATTCTTTTTACACATGAAACTTTAGGGTTGGTACGTATGCATGTAAGTATGTATGTTTTTGTAAGGCAGAGTTACAGAAAGAGGACAACCAGAGACAGAGAGACATAACACAGAGAGAAACATCTCCTAACATCTGCTTCACTCCCCAACTGGCTACAATAACCAGGCTCTTCATCCAAGTCTCTCATTTGGGCTATATGCTACTTTCACGGGTCAGTTAGTAGGGAGCAAGATCAGAAGTGGAGCAGCCGGGAATGGAACCAGCACCCATATGGGATGTAGGTGTTGTCAGGCAGCAATGTAACTTGCTATAGTCACAACACCAGCTCCCACAGAGTCATTACACGAGACCAGTGAGATCTCAAACTGCAAACCTTATTTAAATTGCCTTGCTTCCTTTAACATAGTTATGATTGAATTTCCTTATAAAGGTTAAGTACTCCCAATAATTATACTGAAGGAGTAATGGTTTCTACATAATCATCTAAGTGCTTAATTTTAATTTTGCAAACCTTAATTTAATAAACAAGTATCTGATCTCAGAATAATTGCTTCTAGATTTGCAAATGTCACACTAGCCACGATATTCTAAACATCTCCAATCTAGACCTCATTATTTGGGCATTTATGCCTGAAGGGCCCCATCACTGATATATTAGAATCATTTGCTAAAAAAAAAAGTGATTTGAGACAAAACAAAAAACCTTTCTAAGCACTATCACTTTATCTTCAAACAAATGTTAATTATAAGGCACCTTATTTTCATTAAAAACCATTACTATCTAATTGGAAAGTACTAAAAATTATTTCTTTTTATCATATTCTATATTTTCTAATTAATTTTTCATTAACTTGGACAATCACTTTTATATCCTCTATGATAGTAACTTTCTAATTTCTGAACCACTGTATTATTATATATGCTAAAAAAAGGTTTAAGAACATCAAAGAGTTTTCACTTATAATAGATATTTCTTATACTAGAAATTTTAATTAAGAGCATTTACAAATACTTGGCATATCATTTTAAAGTAGTTTATGTTTGCTCATCTTTGGTTAAAATTAAACATTACTATATTTTCTTTAAAAAGCTTAGTGGGGCCTGGCGTGATGGCCCAGTGTTTAAGGTCCTCACCTTGCACGCCTGGGATCCCATATGGCCGCCGGTTCTAGTCCCAGCAGCCCCGCTTCCCTTCCAGCTCCCTGCTTCTGGCCTGGGAAAGCAGTCAAGGACGGCCCAAAGCTTTGGGACCCTGCACCCGCGTGGGAGACCTGGAAGAGGCTCCTGGCTTTGGATCGGCATAGCATCGACCGTTGCGATCACTTGGGGAGTGAATCATTGGATGGAAGATCTTCCTCTCTCTCTCCTCTCTGTATATCTGCCTTTCCAATAAAAAATAAAAATAAATCTTTAAAAAAAAAAAAGCATAGTGATAGGAGGTTGGTGCAGTGGGAGAGCAAGTTAATCCTCTGCCTGTGATGCCAGCATCCCATACGTGTCTTGGCTGCTGCACTTTTGATCCGACTTCCTACCCATGCCCTGTGAAGGCAGTAGAGATCCTTGGGACCTGCACCCATGTGGAGACCTGGAGGAAGGTCCTGGCTCCCAGCTTTGGAGCAGCTCAGCTATAGCCATGGTGGCCATTTGGCGAGTCAACCAGTGGATGGAAGGATGTCTCAGCTCCTGCCTCTTTCTCACTGTAATTCTTTCAGTAAAATGAGTGAATTTGCTGGTTTGCCTTCTGTAATGAGTGAACAGTGGTCACTTGCTTGGACACTGGACAAGTGGCAGCAGTTTCTTAAAAGAGTAACTGCGATTCTGAAATCATATCAGCGCACTTTTCACACTTGAATGCCCTAAAATCCATAAATCACAGCACCCAGCCAGAGCAGCTAACATCATTGTGATCACATCACAGAAGTCTTTAAGTACCAGGAATTTCTAAGAGTTCACTGAGGTGGATGCAAATTTCCCAAAATTCTAATTTTCATTTGCAAGGTTGGGTTTATATTTCCAGCAGCAGAAACCATCACATGGCTCCATGGAGGCTCACTGTGTTCATTCCCAACGTGTATTCTAGGTCAAGAAGCGAGAGAATTCATCAGAGACACCACTGGCTTGACAGGTGCTTCTGTGTGTTAGCAGCTGAGACACTGCCTTCTTCCTGAGGTGTCAGAGCTTAACCACGGAGCTGCTACACCATCAGCAACAGTGGACAGAGCTCACAGTAAACCATACTGCAATGAAAATAGCTTTGACCAGGTCAACTTCATAAAAGGATCCTGAAGAATCCCCAGCTTTATGTTGCTGACTATGGTCCTACCATATAATGACTGCTTCCCCTGCATCTATCACCATTCAGATTACCAGAAGGCAGACACCAATTCAGGATGGGAAAGTGACTACCCAGTGGCCCATCTGTAGTACTTACCTCATTAACACCAATGTAAGGAAAAGGCTACTTCCACCATCCAAATTTCATTGAGCAAGCATAGAAAATAAAATTGTGTTATCATGGAAGGATAACACAAACTAAACACAGTAAAATTACTATGCAAATTCTAGTCCCTCCCCCAAAGAAATTAAAACATGACATGAACTTTTCTTTAGTTCATTCATTTGTGCCCCCTCCGCAGTTGTTGCTTTTTTTTTTTTTTTTTTGCTTGATTGATTGTATAGGACACTTGTTTAGTGTTTGGACAGATCTTGGTCTGCAGACCCTGTGCTTCATGGTGTTCAGGGCACTACGCAGCCAGGAAACAGGTGGAAGCATTCAAGTCAGAACAAATCTTATCTCCAGTCCCAGGTCCTCAGTCTACAGGCTGACTCGGGGTCAATTCTCCTAGTGGGATGAGAGGCAAATTCCACTGAAAACTGCGAGGACTGGCAGATACAGATAAAAGGCCTTGTAGTGCAGCTCCCAGCACACCACAGCCATTGGATAAATGGAAGCTTCCAAATGAATACGATCCCCTGGGGGCAGTCAGAGTCCAGAGGGTAGCAGGACACATATCTAAATAATTAAGGCACAGCACGGACACAGATTAATGCAAAATGCAAGGGAAGCAAAAGAAAAATCAATGGGCTGCTTAAATGAGGAAGGAGCCACTGGCTAACGGAAAGGTGAGGAGTTAGAGGGGAAATGGTGCATGGGGACAGAGCCGCCAATACAGGGCAGGAGACAGCTGGCTGGGGCAGAGCAGGCCTGGCAGAACCCAGGAGAAACAACCTGCACCCAACTCACAGAAGGGCTTGCACAGTGACAACAGCTTTGTTATCCCCTAAAAACGGAGGATTCATAACCCTCAGCTCTAGCAGGCTGGCCAGTCCCCTGCAGACCCTGACTCTCTCCCTAGCACACTTGACGCTTAGGCCTGTTTGGAGTCAACAGCAGTACCCTGGCCAGCAAGGCTCCTTGCAGAGTTGTGAGCTGCCTGGGGAATTTGCCTGGGTCCTTGTCAAAGCGTGGTATGACGTAGGGGCTCCGAAGTTCACACCATGCTCTACGTCTAGTGCTCCCTTGGACCTCACAGGCTACTCTGCTTTATGGAGGGATAAGAAACTGGAAGAGACAGAAGGCCCCCTGTCCCACTAATAGGGACAATCGGTGCTGTCTGGGTATATCCCGTGGAGGCACAGGGCCTGGTCCACAACCTGGTTGAGCCCCACTGTGGTCACGAATTAAATGGTGCCAATCAGAGACAAGTGACAAAAATTACAACAATGTCTTACTCACCCAGAATTTTACGAGGAAGAAGGCATTTTGAGGGCCCTTTCCAAATAGCTCCTTCAAGCCACCTTTCTTTTCAGGAAATTTGTCATAAATCTGACGAATATCCACTGATTCGAGCAATGGGTCACTGTAAGAATGGTTGGCATGCCCAATGTGCACGAAGAGGTGTTTGTTGTACTGTAAGAAACCAACAGAAACATTCCCATTACAAACCCTTGGATCAATCTGAGACGCTCCCATCTTCAATGGGATAAAGAGCAGTGATCTTGAAATCCAGAATCACACCTTGATCAGCTTAGGGACTGTGCCTTCGAACTGATACGTATGTGCTTTTAATTTTAAAGGCCATTAGAGCTTCCTGACAAGGGCAAATATTTCCCCAAATACCTAAGTTTACAGATACAATAAGCAATGGCTTGGTCTCCTAAGTATGAAACCAAGCAACAATCCTGCTACCCAGTTTCACCAAATTAACATGCAATGAAGCCTTCCTCTTTGGAGCCCATTATTGATGGCAAAAGCCCCGCACAGAATGTGTGCAGTTAGCAAACATTATCACTATGACTGCACTTTCTCACCCCGGCTCCCCTAGCAACAGCACGGATGCAGTGGTCTGAGCAGTGGTAGTCATCCCACTTCCAGCGGGTGTGAGAGTGCGGAGCCTTTGTTAGTGGGTCTCTGGTTAGTCTAGGACCCCAGCTAGGACTGCTCAGAGACAGGGAATTGCCTGTGCAGAGGCTCTCCAAGGCAGGTCATAGCTGACAGAAAACAGCACAGGTCACATGTTTTATGGAAACAAACTAACAGAAAGCCCAAACTGCACTGTGTTGTAGCATGACTCAAAATGACATCCGTTCTTGCCTGGCTTCGGTGGAAAATGTGGATCTGAGAGAGTTGTGTTTACAACCAAGCAAGGTTCCCATGCAGGCTTTATCACAAGCACCAGAGGAGCACTTCAAATCACCAGCACCTGGGGCCCATCTGGATGGAACTGGAATCTCTGGAGTCAGTCATGTTTATGATTCCTTGGAGGACTGCCAAGGTGCAGGCAGGACTGCATGGCAGGCTCTACTCCCTCCAGACCTGAAGATGACACCCCCATAACAGCACATACACAGGGAGACTAGGCTGCGGGCACTCTGGAGCCCAACAGGGCACATGAGAGAAACCCCATCTCCCTTGCACACCCAACCGCCCCTACTCCCTTTCCAAAAAGAAGCCGGCCATTCTCCAACCATTATGCTCTTGTGAGTACTAATTCCAGGGCCCGTGTCCACTAACAGAAGGTGCGGACAAGGCTGACCACCACCAGTTAAGAATACATTGTCTGAGGCTGGCAGCCTAGCCCATTATATGTATCCATGTCAGCTTCTGATTATAGGTACCAGTCTGAATCCTGGCTGCTCCACTTGGACACAGCTCCTTCCTAATGTGTCTAAGGAAAGCAGTGGGGGATGGCCCAGTGCCTGGTGTCCTGCATCCATGTAGGAGACCTGGATGAGGCTTGTGGCTCTAGATTTTGATTTGTTGCAGCTTCAGATGTACACCCATTTGGGGAGTGAACCAGCAAATGGAAGCTCTCCATCTCTCCCTATCTCACTTTATAACTCTGCCATTGAAATAAACAAATCTTCTTATATAACAAACACACACACACACACAGAGGGTATGTACTCAGCCTGTTCAAAACTGTATGTCCACTGCACAAGAGCTAGACAGTGGGTCAGGGCCTCGCTGGCTGCTACAATGGGAGTGATGATGCACCTCTTTCATGGCATTGTCACAGGTTGAAATTGAAATGCATTACACACTATATATTATGAGTTTTCAGTGGTCCTAGATCCAGCAAAGAGTAAGCATTCAGGACATGCTAGTTGGTTTTTATTTACTTACTTACGGTAAGATCCATTTATTTATTTGAAAGAGTGACAGAGAGAAAGGAAAAAAACACAGAGCGAGAAAGACCTTCCATCCACTGGTTCACTCTGCAGAATGTCATGATGACCAAGATGGTGGGCCAGGCTGATGCTAGGAGCCAGGCGCTTCAGCCCATTCTCTCCTGAGGGTGACAGGAGTCACTGCTTTTCACAGTCCATTAGTAGAGAGTCGGAGTGGAAGTGGACTGTCTGACACATACTGATATCCGTAGCAGCCAGTGGTTTTACCTGTATGCCACAGTGCTAGCCTCTGGTTGCTGTTTTTTTAAAATTAATATCTCCCCTCTAAAAGTCACAGTGAATATTAACATGCTAAAAGCACTGCTGTAAGAAACATGTCTTAACACAATTCATTAATTCCCAAACTCAACTGGTTACAAAATGTAAATATGAGAGGCCTTCAAAGGAGCCAAGGAAAATGCATAAAATATGATTTTCAAAACTTTTTGCAACAGAACCCCTTGTCGTTTCATGCTATTTTTTCCATACACATTGGAAGTCCCCACATGCTGTGGGTTGATGGTCAGGCTGTCCACAAGGCAGGAGGTTACACCACCACCTGATGCCAGTGCTGTATAGCCAGAAGGGGCTGGGATCTTCTAAGGAGTGCCACGCCCTCTACTGTTCCACATCAGAGTGACTTCTGTACTGAGTCTTCAATAACGCTAACAAGTAATGAAGGGAAAAGAAAATATGGAACCTAGCAAGCACCTAGTTGGCACCTTGTGATAGACTCCTTGCCCAGTGGGTTTCAGACACCAATGCGAGCCTGTGAACCACTATGCGAGAACAGAGTGTGCCTGGACTAGAAGAAATGGGAGCAAGAAAAATAAACAAAAGCCACTGTGTTGGTGGGGGTTTGGGAGTATGGGGTGTAACATGCAGGGAGCAGAGGCAGTGTCTTTGATCATGTCATCTTCTCAACAATATGCAAATAAAAGTCTCCAGAAATGACCATGACATGGTCACACCTGCTAAGGAGCTTCAAGTCTTTCAGTGAACAGAGGAGAAAAGAAATCAGATGGTGGAGTTGTGGGTACACATACTAGTGGAAACACCATCAGAGGAGATGAGAAGGGCCTACACACCTAAGGGGCCCAGGACAAAAGGCGTCACTCCTTCCTCATCTAGACACCAGGGCAGCTGTCTGTTCATCCACCTAGTCCAGCTTGGGCACCTCAGTTTGCACCTGGCTCCCAGCCTCGCTCAGCTCTGGGAGGCATGGTCTTTACCAGTTTCAGTGCCTCCTGGGAGGCAAGAACAGAGCACAGTGGTCTTGGGGATCCCTGTGAATGGACTCTGTACTTAGCTGAGTGCCACGTTCTCCTCTCTGCCTTCCCAGATGGACCTGCATCAGGCCAGGACTGTGACGCACCTGTCCAGCTCTTCCCTCTAGCTGTCAACAGGTCAGAGAGGTACCAGCTGGGGTGACACCCTGGCAAAGGCATCCAAGACATAGCCTTGAAACTGTGGAGCAGTATTTGGGCCTGGAGCCTTAGTCTCCTGTTGCATGCAATGATGATGAAGCTCCTGTTGCAATAAACTGTCCTGAAGACAAAAGGGAGCAACATACTGGGAAAGAGCTGGCTGCAGGTCTGGCAGACAAGAAGCATTCCATAAATGGTAGCTGTGAAGATTGTTATTGTTACGTTATTCGCCTGTGAGATTAACTAGATCTTGGGGTAGAAGCTCAAGAAATTTCCTGCTTTAGCCTTCTCTCCTGCCTAGCAAAGAAAAAAATAAACACAGATAAGCCGAGGGCCGTGAGCAAGTTGTGATGCTGTGTAGTTGTTGTCCAAATCCCCCAGGGCTGGCCTGTGCACAGCCAGCTGCTCCCCTGGCCGGTGCTCACCTGCGCCCCTAGGGCTATGAGCAAGGTGCTCCTAAAATGCTCCATCTCAGGTAATCCCTGCCTCATGACCACTCCATCAGGTGGATTTCACAGAGGAGGAAATACAAGCTTAGGGACAACTGACTTGCCTGAAGGTCAAAGGAGCAGGCCAGGCGTTAAGAATATAACTTGGATCTGTCAATGCCACAGCCCTTGGCAATTGCTGTAAAACCCACATGGTCTTCCCATGAGGACAGGACAAGGTCCTAGTTCTCGGACCTTTGTGAGATTACTGTTTCCCAAAGGTTGTTTGAGGTGGGTGCTAACGGGTGTTTCGAAAATTCCAGGAAATGAATTCAGAATTCAGAACACATCAAGTGACTGGTCAGTGTGTCCACTGGAGTTGGCCAACATTTCTATTTTTGAAAGGGACCTCTGAGCCTCAGCAGCTGCAAGGAGCAGAACGGGGGCATGGTGTCTTGGCCAGAGGTCATCAGGCATTGCCTTCCAGGGCTAGCAACCTGAAACCGAACCCTCACAGCTGGCTTCAGAGCAGGAGTGGCCTGAGTCCCGCCAAGAGGTGACTTGGTTTCTAAGAATACACGGGACCAAAGCAGGTGTCCTAGAGACCACGGCTCTGAAACAAACAGGCCCCTAGCTCCCCTTAACTCATCCCGGGCAGGTGGAGAGTCCCTCTGCCCCCAGCCCCAGAAGGCAGAAAGGAAATGTACATGGTGTGGGTTCATGCTTTCATGGAGTTAAAATGCTAAAAGCCATCCAGGGAGGCTCTGACTACTTCCCCTGCCTGCCAGGTCTCCTTGTAAGGCAAGATCCTTAACTTTCCTACCTCCTTCCCAAATAAATCCCACTCTCTCTTTAGCAACAATGCTTTCTCCAAAACTTAGAGGAGTACACAAAACCGAAAAAGAAAAGGGCTGACCCAGCTCAGGGCAGGAAACTGGGAACAAGTACTAGGGACCACCTGTGAGTGAACATAGCTGGAATGTCAGTTGGTCACATAAGCCAATGCTGGCACAAGAGTGTTTCCACATCTGAGGCATAGATTCACTGTGACTCATTTGATAACTTCAACAGAGGTCCAGCCACTCGTCAGCAAATCACGGGCAGTGAGATAACAGGTGCTGCCACTGCAGATGGAAGTTTAGGGTTTCAGAACCAACCAGCACATTTGTTATTGATGGAGTGCCGCATGCTATAGCAGGCCCAAGAAATCCATTGAGTCAGTAGCACCAAAGGCTCACCTTCTTGGCTTCCTAAGCAGTCAGCTTCCTGCCTCACTAGATAGCATCACGATGCTCATGGAGATGTGTGTCCTATAGGTTCCTCCATGGAAGAGGTGGCCATTCAAAGGTGGCCAACACTTCCATTCCTGCCCCACCCATGACTTG